TGTTTCGTTTCGATTTAGATGAATTTATTTTACGAAAAGAAGTGTTTAACGTTCGCAAATTCCTACAACAAATCATTTTTAACCTACTATCGTATCCTCATTTTCATTTATTACAAAAAATCTCTTTATTATTATTATTATTTTTACTTTTGTACGCGACAAGCTTCTAAATGCTTGTCGGAATAAACAAGTAAGCAATTTTCCCAACATTTATTACAACACGTCTTTACCCGGTCCTTAAGAATAATTTCTCAAATTTCGTTAGTGTTATCTCTAAAATTTTCCAAAGAATGTGAGTCGTATCACATTACGCCATTTCCTGCACGGTTTCTTCTTTTAAATCCTTCAAAACCTTCTTCAAATTTCCTTTCATTCATTGTTGCAAAGCTCCCATTGTGCTGATCCAACGATGACCGGAATAGTTTCTATCTTTACTCTCCCCACATCCTGGCTATTTCCTTTATTTTAATCATTATTATTATTATTTTTTTTCCTGTAACGAACGTTCGACACTCTATCGTTAAAAAATATAAATCTAAAAAGAAAAACGAATAATCTCACATAAACACACACACACACAATAATACCACCTTTCCTTACCTTACCTTCCACAACAACAACTGCAATAGAAACATAAAACGGGTCATTATTTATTTTTTTAACTTTAATATTAATAATAATAATTATATTTACAATAATGATAATAATAATATTATTTTAACTTACATATCACAATAACTTCTTGCAGTTGAGAAGTTAATACTACCCCATGAATGAATCCTATTATTTTTATACAATAGAATATACATAATTAAATACATATATACATATATATAAATATATCAAAGCAGTAAAAACGAATCGAATGTTTTTATTTATTTATTAATTTATCGTATCTGTAAATATATACATACATACATAAATACATAATATTACAAACTACACATATAACTTATATAATTTATTATTTTACAGAATGAAACAGATTATTTCAATGAAAATGCATTTAATTTTTATTATAACACAAGCCTTTTCAAGTTTTTTTTTTGGAAATTTATGCAGTTGAATTCATTTCTTTAAAATATATATATATATATTTAAAAAAAAAAAAAGAAAACAATAGTAGTTAAGTGCGGTACATAAAGTACACATAACACAGACAGTATACATATATAGAATGAATGATGGATTTTATGTTTTTTATGTTTTTTTACTTACTTACTTCACACAAACAGGGAAAAGAAGAAACATATGAAAACATAGATTTTAATGACAACATTTAACAATTAATTTTTTTTTTTTTAAAACATTTAATTAATTAATTAATTAATTAATACAGATATAAGTGGTAGTTTGTAATTAGATATTATTAATTTGTTTAATAAAAAAAAAAAAAAAACAATCGCGCGCAGTCAGGTATATACATGCATACATACATATATTTTCTCATTACCTACATTGCAGTCAGTATATTAATTAGTAGAAGTAGATATATATTATTATATCGCTGTGTTTTTTCATTTACAGTGCAATATTCAGGTATTATTATTAAGTATAATATTTAATTCAGTATTTGTAGCTATTTATTATCGTATTTATTTATTTTTTTTTTAAATAATTATGTTTTCTTATTAAATAATTTTTTGTTTTTTTTTTGTTCGTTATTAAACACAATGTTCGAATGTTTTATTTCTTAAAATGTAAATTCATATATATATTTTTGACATAAAGCCGGCTTTTCAAATTATAACCTTACTTATGCATATATATTTTTTCTTTCTTTTTGGGTATATAAAATAGTCGT